ATCTCAGCCAAATATTGTCCTATCCTAACAAACCATACATCCATGGAAAGCTTATTTAACCCGTTTAATCCCACCTGTCACAATAGTGACTGTAAAAAAGGTTTTCATTTATAAAGCTCTAAAAACCTTACTGACTGATGTTTTAGTGCACTTCCTGCAAATATGGAAAAAATAAAGGGTCTCAATGAAATATGTGCAGTTTCACATGATTAGTGCAAACTGTCACATGACCAGAGCAGTTTATTTCCTGTTTGCACCTTGAGAAGATGATAACTGCATCAAAGCTCCAAAACAAAAGGCTAGTAAAGTATGTCAACATAAAGATATGACAAAGATTTTTGGTACACATTATCTTTATGTCAGACAGACTGTTTCTGTCTTGTGTTGTGTTTTGTTCCCCACGTGCTCCATGTTGTATTTCTGTGCCCTTATTTGGTCTTGCTGTTCCTGTCCTGATTATTTAATGTGTTTTCAGATGTTTCCCGTTGAGTTTATTGATCTCAGGTGTGTCCCATTAGCTCCCTTATTATTTAAGCAGTATGTGGTTCCATTTTCTTCGTCCGATATTGTGAATGTCTGTTGATGTCTACCTCCTCAGCTACGTGTGTTTTCCTGGTTCCCTTGATTTCATTAAAATCTCCCTTTTGATGTACTCCACATCTCCTCGCTCCTTGCTCCGCGCTCCAACACAGTAGCACCGTGACAGAATACCGGACCCAAAATAATAAATGGCGCCCCTTCTCCCCTTGTTTGTTTTCCATTTTTTGAATAGTTTTTTGTTCCCTGTTTGTTTCTCCCCGCGGCAATGGAAATAGCCGCTCGGTTCATCGCCCTAGCCCACAGAGATCTCGCCTTCGTGGAGTATGCGTGGGAGTTCAGCACGGCCCACATACAGAACCATTTTGTGAGGCACAAATGAGTCATACAGCTGATTTTAACATGTTTCTTTACAGGTACAATGCAAACAACAAGAATGTTGTCCACCATATCCCATGGTGCTGTTGTTTAGCTATGTCACATTCAAACCACAGCCTCCAGTTCCATTGCTGTGAGAGAAATGAGAGAAATGAGAGACTCTGGATGGCAGCAGCTAGTTGTTCTCCTGTGTGGGCTGTCTAACTCAAGAACAAAGTGGATACGGTAAATGCTACTGAATCATAGATACCCCAGAGATGCCAGATGCTAAATGTTGAAGCAACAGCACATTTATATCACAGCTTCATTGTCAGCAAATACTATGACACATGAACATGACAAATAAAAACGTTTAACTTACACATTGATATTATTATTCTGAATATGTAGCAGCTCTGATGCTGTGTATCAGATGAACCAATTCATGGTGTTGTTAAAAGGGATGAAAACTAACAATATGTGTAACTAAAAAATATCCAATTAGCTGAAATATACTGTGATTATTAATTTATTTATAATGAGTAACAATATTGTAACAAGCTAGTTTTAGAAGTTACATTTTCATTTCCTTCTGATGTTTCACTTTCGCTCACACATATTCAGTTTCATTTTCTTTTAGTGTGCTCAGCACTCATTACATTAGTACTGTCCTTTTGTTTTTGTGCACTACAGTATTATACTGGTGCATCTGACTCCATTATTGTTGTAAGACTGGTCTGCACCACACTAATGACAACAATAAGTGACTCTCAATTGTCTTTGAATGGCTTCAATTCTGTTAATCAAGATGAGATTCAAGAGACAGTCAGCTATATATGAGAGAAATAGCACCTTTCATTATGAATGCTGCATGCTACTTTATAATGGGAAAACAATGGCAATGGAGATTACAGCCTGATACTACAGTAATGAACAAATGCAAACTGTGCTGCCCACATGGGAGGAAGTTTACAAAGTTTTAATAGACATTCTGCAGGGTAAATAAATGTGATAATGGCACAATTGTTTCAGACATATAAGTGCTATTTTCAAATGTATTTGGATGATGACAAGGTATTACATTATTACATTATGTTAATGCATTATAATCTGTGCAATTGCTTGCCTTGCTTGATGCTTAATTCTTATGTCAACTCGATCTTGTGTGTTTTATATGAATGCAATGGCTGTGCAGAGATTTAGGGTCACTCTGGAAATTCTTTGATAAGGTGATTTTTAAAGTAATTTTAATATATGGGGAATTTGGAGGCCAAGGCAACCCCTTGAACTCTTTGTTATGTTCCTCAAACCATTCCTGAACATTTTTTGAAGTGTGGCAGTGTGCATTATCCTGCTGAAATAGGCCACTGCCATCAGGGAACACCACTGCCATGACGTGGTCTGCAACAATCTTTAGGTAGGTGGTACGTGTCAAAATAACGTCCATATGAATGCCAGGACTCAAGGTTTCCAGTTCTGACGTGCCCATTGTTGGTGCTTTCGGCGGTAGACAGGGTTCATTATGGGCACTCTGACTGGTCTGTGGCTACGCAGCACACTTCACAGCTTACTGTGATGCACTGTATGTTTTGACAGCATTAAGTCTTTTAGCAGTTTGAACTACAGCAGTTCTTCTGTGTGATCAGACTAGATGGGCGAGCCTTCACTCTTTACGTGTATCAATGAGCCTTGGAAGCCAATGACCCTGATGCCGGTTCTCTGGTTGTCTTTCTTTGCACCACTTTTGCTAGGTACTAACTATTGCATATACCAGAAATACCCCAAAAGACTTGTTTTGGAGATGTTCTGACCCAGTCGTCTAACCATCACTATTTGACCCTTGTCAAAGTCCCTTTTCTCTTGCCCATATTTTCCTGCTTTCAACACATGAAATTCAAGAACTGACTGTTCACTCGCTGCCTAATATATTGCACTCTTTGACAGGTGCCACTGAAACAATATAATATAATCAATGTTATTCACTTCACCTGCCAGTGGTTTTAATGTTGTGGCTGATCAAATGACCTTCATTCCATGTCATGCCAATACTTAGTCAATTATATTATAGATAAAAGTTTTCATATGCGTTTGGCCAATCAATGTCTACTTGCGTCGCGATTAGTACCAGTTGTGCTGGTTAGACCCTGCTCCGGAGTAGGAGCTAATTTGGTTCTCGAAAAAGGCAGTCCGGTACTAAAATCGCACCCAGTTTCGGCGGTGCGAAAACGCCAAAAAGTGGGTAGTTCCACAATTAGTTCTGGTACTATGAAAAGGTTCCCGCGGTGCGAAAGGCCCTAAAGTAACATCTACATGAAAGCCCGGACACAAGGTTTCACCACAGCACATTATCCAGATCATAACACATCCTCCACCGGCCATCTCCTCCCAAGGTAAATGATGCACACACAACTGGCCATTCATCAGACCAGGCAACCTTCTACCATTTCTCCATGGTCCAGTTTTGACATTCACATCCCCATTTTTGGTGCTTTTAGCGTTGGATGGGGTCATCACGAACACTCTGACCAGTTTGCATCAATGAGTCTTGGGCACCCATGACCCTTACAATGGTTCACCAATTGTCCTTCCAACGTGATAAATTTAATAGCTGGCTGCTCATTTGCTGCCTAACATACTCCACCTCTTGCCAGGTGCTACTGTAACGATAAAATAAATGTTATTCACTTCACCTATCAGTGGTTTTAATGCTGTGGTTGGTCAGTGTATGATTGAAGCATAACCTGAGGACTCAACTTCAAGACTAACAACATAAAGTCATTTAAAATATAAATATATAGCCTATAGGTCTACAGAGAAAATAAGGACACAATTCTACATTTCATTGCTATACATGTTGCATAAGCATATTTGCTAGTACATAAATACTCTATGGCTTTGTGTTGTGTTTAGCTCATATAAAAATCCTCACATTAACACATATTAAAACTTGGTATTAGTTATTCATTATTAAAGTTATGTTTTACTTATATGTAATCCAGTTAAACTTCAGGGAAGTGTTCAGCAGTATGTTTGCACCAGCAACAGTAACAACATCAGAGACCCCTTTATACCTTTCAATGGACTGGGAATGAGCTCGCTCTAATTCTCTGCACTTTGTCTTCCTTCCCTCACTCTTTGAAATGTGCTTGGTATGGTAAAGCACTGGTCTGTTGCTACTAAAGAGTCAGTCTGGAGCGCAGTCCTATAGGTGTATTGTGGCAGAAAACTCTGAGCTTTTTCATTTGCATTTTTACTTCTCAAACAACCATGTTGGAAAACGTACACATGTACGTATTCCAGAATGACAATGACAAGTTCACCAGGCTCAAATTGTGAAATAGTGGTTCAGTGAGCATGAAGAATCATTTTCATGTATGAATTGGCCACCACAGTTTCCTGAGCTTAACCCCATTGAAATTCTTTAGTGTGTGCTGGAGTTGACTTTACAGAGTGGTTTGACTCTCCCATTGTCAATACAAGATCTTGGCCAAAGATTAATGCAACTCTTGATGGAAATAAATGCTGTGATGTTGCATGACCTTTTTTTCGAAACAATGCCACAAAAAATGCAAAATTTTTTTTCAAATACAAAGGCAGTCCAATGGAATATTAGTGTGCAACTGTTTTTTTTTTTTTTTTTTTTTGGTCAGGCAGTGTAAAGTCTATTCCAGCACAATCCAAAGACTTTCAGTGGGGTTAAGGTCACGACCTGTGGGGGTCAATCTTTCACAATTTGAGCCTGGTGAATCTTCGCATTGTCATCCTGGAATATAGACATGGATGAGTTTTCTGAAATGGTTGTTTGAGAAATAAAAAGCTACACATTGCATCAGTTAGGGTTAAATTAATTGTTGCCAAACATACAACATGCCAGAAACATATTAAACACTGCAATAATGATTCAATATTCAAATCTTACGTATTTGCTTACTTGAATCTAGATGGCAACTTTTTTTTGTTTTTTTTGACGAGGCAGTGTATACATTCATTTACTGTATATGGTTTCGTAGCTGTGTCGTGATGTCTTATATTAAATTGTTTGTTTGTGAATTATGTTGATGCTGCATAAATTGCCCTGTGAAGGGACAAATAAAGATATTACTGCTACTACTATTGCCAATTATGGGGGGCCTATATGTTAATACTACATTTTGCTAATTTTTGTATTTAGAAAAGCCATAAAAATGACAAAACACACTATTTTTGCAAATGAAAGAAGCAATCCTCAGAACACAACATTTACAGTTCCATGTTGAATGCTCGGCTCTGATTCGGCTGCAGACATGAAAATGCAGGTAATCATGCATGCTGATATTCAGAGCAACAACACAACAGATGAATAAACAAACAAACAAACAAAAAAAGTAACTTACACTTTGGACACAGAATTGCAAGAATTAAAGCAGAATAAACTGCTGCACATCCCTGAGCAACAACAACAAAAAAAAGTGATGTTTCTTTTCTGAATTAATTTGAATGAACCGGTTGAGTAAATGATTCAATGACTTGCTCATACTTGTTTTGTTTCTGGAAAGAATATGTTAAATGAATGAATCAGCGAACCACTTATAATAGTCAATTGTCGCCACCTACTGGCATATCAGTGCAACCTGCAGAAGGAATTGTTGAAAAATCCTGACCATTAATGTACTCCAGACATTCACCATGTTGTCATTGTCATGTGACCTATACAGCATCAGCTGCGTTACTTCGCTGCCATTTGCAAATCCTCTCCCACGGCCTTATGGGATAGTAAAGTATCCATCAGATGCACAATTTAGAATCTCGCCAGAAGTAGTAGTCATCCGAGAGTACTTTTTGCATACTGTTTTATGAATAATGTGAATTTGAACATACTAGTCTTTTCACATACTGTTTTTTCCCTAGAAGGTAAGTATGCGTTATCAGATATAGACTAATACCAGAGGTTTATCTCATACTGTCTGATGATATCAGCACTCTTTGAGTGCAAATTCGAGAACATAGCTAACTCTTGTATCATCCAATTTATGGTTCATTTAGCTGATAGTCATCAACACCCTGAGTTCATCAATGATTTGATCTGAAAAGTGAAGGAAGTGAAGGAAAAGGCAGGTAAACCAAAATCTGGTAAAAAGTGCTCTACTGTCAAATGTCTGGCTGGCTGTCTGGCTGTATACCAGTCATAAAGACAGAAGGAGACGGTAATAGGAGGAAGACAGCAAACAAGAGAAACATTTTACCTTGGTGAGATTAGATGTCACAATAAAACAGAGGATGGATTTGCATAGCCCAGGGTTGACTGTGGCCCACTTTCCCCTGCTCTCCCCAGCCAACGCATGCCATTATCTGTGTTGAAGTTCCACAGCTGGTTGGCAGTGGTACAGCTTCCAGTGTTTGGTCCCACAGCCTACAAGAAATGAGTGGCCCAAATTTGTTTGTGGTGTGTGGTATGTGTCAAGGGATGCTTGGCATCTAAGGAGGACATGTCATAGAAATGTATCTTCAGAGACACCACAAATAGGGGCATTTGCAAGGCATGACCAAAAAGAAAGATTTCACTGAGATACACAAAACTTCCTTAAAAATGTTTCTAGGGTAGAAAATCTTAAAATATCTCAAGTATTTTTAACTAACAAGTCCTTCGGGAAGAACCAAGGAACACCATAAATTACAGTATCATCTAAAAATACGATTTTGCATGATATAAAAATACAAATTCTGTCATCATTTACTCATGTCAGGTCATGGCATTTTAAATCTGTAGAACTTACTTTCTTCTGTGGAGCGCTAAAATTCATTCAATGAAAGTCAAAGGAGTCTAATGTTGTTTAATAACTCTGTATGTTTCATGATGGTAGTAGGCACAAAGGCGGCGTGCTTTTCAACGACAGAGCGCTTTACTAAAAACAGTTCACACAGATAATCATTTCAAGTTCATTTCTGATGAAAAAAAGTCAATTTCCATCAGTTTGATCCATTCCATGTGCTTATGGGAGGCACTTATTTTAGATAAATTAGTTCACACTGTTTAACACACACTGTTTGTTCTCATATTTCATTATATTTGTTTATTCTCATTTTTCTCATTTTGAATATTTTCTCATCCACTGCCCCACTCTGAGAAAATAACCCCGGTTAAAAGTCAGTTACTCTCCACCAGCTATGCCACTCAGTGGCAGCCAAGCTGAATTAATCTACTACTCAAGAACGAGTGGTCAGTGTGATTTAAAAAAAAACAGTTAATCCTGTAATGGGTTTTCCATTCTGCACAGAAAACCTTTTACGGAACAGCAAAAGAGGTTTAAAACGTCTTGAAGGGTATGGCCATTTCATTTCTGTATAGGTAACTCTTTGCTTCGCTCAGTGTGAGAGAAATAGATTTTGGTATGCTGCTAAAACAAGCTAAACATTTCAGATGGGAAGATAATTTCCTGTTTTGAAGTATGAATAGCAATTTTGAGGTATGAATAGCAATTCCACTCATCCTATTAAACATGAGGGCACAAATGCATATTGCTTGATCAGATTTGATTTAGACATTCAGGGTAGTATTAAAGCATGGACTGAAGCCCAGGGGACTACAATGGGGAGAGGCCTACAGGCTGCACGAAAATAATCTATTTTTTTACATAATCTTATTTTTATATGGGAGTTTACAGCAGTGACAACTATATTCTAACAAAACTCACTACTATAACCTGTATGAGTTTCTTTGTTTTGTTGAACACAATAGATGTTATTGTTAAGAATGTTGGTAACCAAACAGTTGATGGTAGCCACTGACTTCCATAGTATGGAAAGAAAGAAGAAGAAAAAAACACTATAGAAGTCAATGGGTACCAGCATCTGTTTGGTAACCAACATTCTTCAAAATATCTTTATGGAAGCCCATTTCTGCCACTGAATAAAAACCTAAAAAAAGATAATTGTGAGTTTTATCTTACAATTCTGACTTTTTTCTCACAATTGCAAGTTTCCCCCTCAGAACTGTGAGATATAAACTCATAATTGTGGGGCTCGCAATTGAGATTTTTTTTTTCTCGCAGTTCTGACCTTTTCTCTTGCAATTCTGACTTCTTTTCTTAGTTATGAAGTCCAACTCTGAGGAAAAAAAGAGACTATTTTCTTACAATTGCAAGCTTGTATTTCACAATTCTAACTTTATTATAACTCATTTACAACTTTGTTACACAATTCTGACTTTTTAACTTTCAGTTGTGAGTTTATATTATAAGTCAGAAACTGCCTTTGATTAAGTCTATTGAGAATGACATTCTCCAAAAATTGGATTTTTACTGCTATTATCTTTTTAGTTAGAACAAGGAAGTTATGTCATTTGAATTTATTCATATATAAGCACAAATTAATGAGCACAGACATTAATTTTTATTGGGGAAGTTCAAGCAGGACCAAGCTGACTCTTAAAAAGCATTGAGCAGCTAAAATCTGTAATTTGCACGGAGACCAATATCCAAAAGATAAATACAAAATGTTAAACTTTAGAAGAACATCCTAAAATCCATTAAAAAAATCTTTACATAAGTGTATTTAGAAAAGTGAAGAGAGGAAACATTGAAAAACTGCTTATGAAGCTAAGGCCAAAGCACACATGAATCAAATCAAAAAACACTCTTTGATCTATATTTTATAAAATTATTTATTATGTTCATATTAAATTGGATCTGCTCATAAAATAAGTGTGAATAAAATTCTCATTAATCCTAAGTGGTGCTGTTACGCTTCACTATGCTTTTAATGGCATGTATTACTAAAAAATATGTTATTCTGTACTGTGCCACATTGTACGCCTGTGCCAGGCTGTTGGTTATTAAAAACCTTGACACATTTAAATGTGTTTATTGTGATGCCAGACCATCTCTGTAAGGTCTGGTAACAGTGATGATCACTCAGTACCAATGGCAGAGTGTGCGTTCCATTAAATAAAAGCCTCACCTGGACATTTTATTGTCCCTCTCTTGTCTTCATTCTCCACCACACCATGTCTAGACAGCCTATTTAGAAACATATCTACTTAGATGACTAGCCAAATGCAGAAGATATATTACAACTGTTCGGGAGCTAGTAAGGATGAAAAGGGAAGTATGAATGTAACAATGGCACTGTCTCAATTTTACATTCAGCCAAGGCTGGGCACAGACCTACATTTCAGATGAACCTGAGCAAAATTCTGTATAACCAACGTGATCTCATGATAATTCGTATGTATTTTACGTAACATGTGGTTCTATAAAACGTACATTTACTTACGTTTTTACAGGCACTAAAACGTACAATACTGACGTATTTTCAGCATCTAAACGTACAA